ATAAGGTGACATGTTATTTGTTTGTGATAAGCATGGGATGAGGGGGAAAAATGACTTCCTGGCAAGGTTGGGGGATAAATAACAATCTAATGGTTCTTCACCAATGATATATTCAATTCTGAAGATGTAACTGTTAAAATTTGAACAGATGAGCTTAACATAATGTTACTATCACAAAATACGTACTGCAATGAAATCCACCAGACACTGCACTGCCATGACCTCTGATGGAAATTCCTCCAATTATATGACTAAAGAAACACAGAATATATATTTTAGGTCAAATAAACAAAAAATGTTCCAAAAAGGCTTCCAATATAAATTATTTTGAGGCTGAGATTGAGATGAAAAAAAAAAAAACATCTTGATTAGCCTTACAGTTTTCTCTTGTGAATCAACCCCAGAAAGCTACATTTATTTATCAAGACTGAGATTGCTTGCACTGAGGAATGCTGATGGCAGAAGTAATAAACACTTTACTAACTGTTGGACCAAAAAATTACTCACCTTCTCTGTGTAAGGTTTGCAAATCCCCGAAGGGTAAGATTTGGGCCATTTCCAGCCTCAAAGGTGGCCTAAAATTAATTCAAATAACCTTCCAGTTATTTCAACCCTTTACATCCTAGCATCAGAGTATCAGTATACATATTCTCCAAACTGATCTTCAAACATTTCCAAAGGTGTTAACAAGGAGAAAGTGTTTAGCAATCAAAAGCATCTTTCATTGGTGATCATTTCCTTTATTCTCCTGATCTTACTGTATGAATCAGGGGTGACATTGTAAGGAGAAATTAGATGCTGGTCCTAAGGGTCAAAGGGTTAACAGCTATGAGATAAGAAGAAAAAGATGGACAGTTGTCTTCCATGATTGATAAAAAAAATCGAAAAAAGATCTCAACATTGACACCTTGTTCAAAACTATTCACCTTCTGAAGTGAAAGTTCAAAACAGAAGTCACAAGTTGTTCCCTGAACAGGGAATGCAGCCATGCAAATCCTGTCACAGTGACACATGCAGTACCTTTAAAAAATCAACAGTTACCTCAGCCCATTTACTGTGTGAAAATAACCTCCTTGTTGACACTGAGACACTACCATCTCCATTCCCATTCTTGATCTTTAAATTACCAGCTAGAGTGAGTGTATCAGTGCGAGTCAGAGGTGCCTTGAGAGGAAAGCAAAAGTTATTTCAAGGCTGTCTCCTTTTCTAAGCAGCATATAATATCTGATGCCTTAATAACAAATCCAAGAGACTGTAACAACTGAATATTAAAGAGTTTGTTGTAACAGTTATACTTTAAAGTGTTTTTCAGTCACTATTAAGTTTGCCTTAACCTCAAATGGTCCAAGGGCTTTTACTCTGACTCACAGAGAGCAGGAACTAATCAATGAAATCAGGTCAATTGTATCACCTTTCCCCCTTTTTTAGCTTTCTTCTTAATCAGCAAAAAGTTTCCTTCATAAAAATGTTGAGGTTTAGAAAATTTTGATCAACAATCTGACAAAGTAGACAGTTGGCAAGCAAAGGATACAAACACTAGTTACTAAAAACTATTGATATCTTGATTTATTATCCCACTTCACTGAGTAGAGTACAAATAATGTGTGAATCAAGTGCAAATATCAGGCCATATTTGGACACTTGGTCATTTTTTAATTGTAACAAATAAACTCAATTAACCAGTCAGCTGTGCGTTACACTTCTCTATCAGCTTCCTTTTTCTTGCCTTATAAGAAATGCACATAAAATAAAGCAGTTGACAATAAATAACTTATTACACGTTTTAGTGTGTAGTAATGCCTGTAATTGTACTTGTTGTTTACATTTTGACTAGCACTACAGACTCATCCAAATATAACAAAACTTGTAAAAATACTTTGTGATACTACATACCAAAACTTCAGATAATACAATATACATATATTCATCAAGTACCTCTATTGACTGTGAGATTGACATGGAACTAACTTCAATGTTTGGCAAAACCCTGAGATTCGAGACCAAAAAAGATATCTTTAGACTATGCTTTAGACTGTTTAATGTTTCTATTTGTGTTACTTGTGATACTCTGAGAGCAGTCCAAAATTAAGAAAAGAACTCACCTTTCATTAAAAGAATCAATTAAGTTGTAATTATCGAACAAGTCTGTAGCATCCACTCCAACAGAAATACTTCCCTGAAAGGTAAAAAATGCTTTTCACAAATCATTTTGGTACCATAATACAGTTAAGTCTGCATGCATTAGATGGACCAACTTAGCTGCAAGAACTTATCAACGCATACAACATACTTTTGGACAAAGTTTGTGTGGCCACAGCATAATTCCTCACAACCTAAATGATCCTGCATGGCACTCAATAATCAATTCACTCTGACCAAGAGCTAGTGCTCATAACATGAGCTTTAGAATCTCTTTACAGTGACCACTTCACATTTCAACTACACTGATAAAACCAAATTATCTTGAAATACTCCCCTGCTGATGCAGAACCACAGTTTTTTTTAGAATCTTACTCCCTCTCACCATTTAACAAATGTTTACCCCATGCACAATGTTAATATTTCCAACACCCTTGACCATGAAAAAGCGACTAAGAGAAACAGTCCTTCCCCTGGAAAGGATGATGGTCACATTGGAGGTCAACTCATAGATATCAGTCAGGCTATGCTCACTGCTGACAATTTGTCAGTAACCATTACGCCCCTGATTGGAAAAAGGAGCTCTGAGAGTAAAAAACCTTGCTATAGAACCAATCACAGTCATGTTCCCTTGATCTTTCAATCATTAGTCTTGTGTGCACACCACAAGGCTAATGTGCTAACCATAAGGCTATCAAGTCTTCCCTTCATTCAGCAAAATGATGATACCACAAAATCTCAAAATCCAAAAAAAAAAGAAGCTAACAACTCACTGTTGGATTTGTGATCTGCCGTAAACGCTGCTCCTCCTTCTCTCTTTGTAGTCTCTCATATTCTTCACGCAACTAAGCAAGTAA